AACTTAAATTTAAACTTTTTTTAAGTTTTACTCCAACAAAACAAACAAGGAAGGACATTTTTGAGTACGTTCACATTTTATTAACAAGACTAATTGGCAAGAAGAAAAATATTAGCCAGACAAGAAAACATAATTGATAAGGTTGAATATTTCAAATTGAGCTGTCAATGGCATATGCAGATAATATTATAGCTGTTGAAACTCAGCAATCTAACCTGTAGTTGTATTTAATTCGTAATAATTACCATTTGGTAAGTAGATTTTGTTAAGTGATTAAAATTTTGACACAATATCAAACAAATGGAACTCAAATTGACAAGTTGACGGAACTGAAAGAGCACATGTCAAGTTTCTGCCGCTGTTTGGATGACAAGGACGGCCACAAACTAAACCGAAATTAAATTTAAACAACATAAGTATAAAAATATTAAATATCTCCGGTAAATTTTTTTACCAATAGAATTATATTAAATCTGATCAGATTAAATTAAAAAAATATGCATAACAAAGATTTTATAACATAACCAACAGAAAATAAAATCCACCGGTAATTTACTTTTTAAGTAAAATTCTAAAAAAAATATATATATAATTTTTGTTCATTTGTTTTTTTTATGCAAATGAATTAAAGTGGACAATCCCCCAGTAATTTATTTTTTTAAGTAAAAATCTAAAAAAAATAAAATGTAGGGTTCGTTTGGTATGAGAATTTAAATTAATGTAATTTTAATAATAATTCTAGAATTAAAATTATAATTCATGATTTTTGGTTCTAATCATAATTCTGAAACTATGATTCAGAATAAAGGGTTTGAATCACCTTAAAGAGATGATAGTTTTAAAATCACTCTAATTTAAAACATTATATCAAATTTTAAATTATAATTTAAAATCATTTAAATTAAATACTAATCACTATAAATAAATATTAATTTTAAATTATAATTTAGAATCATAATTTTAAATTTATCTACTAAACGCTTCCGTAATTTTTGTTTATTTGTTTTTTTTTTCTTCAGAGGAATTAGCGGTGGACAATCTTTCTTATTTTTTTATTATAAAACAATCTTTCTTTTTTTCTGATTAAAAAAAGCCATAAAGAGTTGGGTGCCACGCCCATGTAGCGTCAAATATCAGGAATTGACTCTCTTCTATACAAAAAAAAAAACAAAAAAAAACAAAAAACAAAAAAAAAAAGCAGCGCAACTGACTCTCACATGTTTTTTCTTTTTTTTTGGGTTGATGTGGCAATCTCTGGTATTCTTTCCGTCTGTGAAAATGCGACTCGGTCGTGTCGGTCATTCGGTGGCGTTGTTTTGTTGACTCAGCTCGCCATCTGTTTCTCCTGGTTCCACTGTCTAGGATCTAACATTAATTCAGCAATAAGCAAAATAAAGGGGAAAAAAAGCGATAATACGCTTTATTTGAGAGTGCGTTTAGAATAAAAATTTATGTCACAATTTGAATAATTAATAATTTATTATAATATTTTTTTTATAAAAAAATATATATAAATTGAGAATAATAATGAATTCATAAATTAAAAGTCATAATTTTCGTTTCTTTGTTTGCTCCAAAAACAAATCTCGCTTCTTTGATGGCAACAAAAAAAAAAAAAGAAAGAGAAGAAAAAAAAATGGGTTCGATTTGCACGTCGGGGTTGTCAAGAAAAATGTTCGGGTTTTATAAAAGTGGGTTATTTACATAAATATATATTTGAAGTACCTTAAATTTAAAAATACTTACTTATTATTTTGTTTATACAAATACCCACTATCATATATAAATAAAGACATCCATATTCTTTATTCTTAATAAATAAACCCCATATGGGGTAAATAAATATACTATTTACTTCAAATATTTCAAAACACGTATTTACTTCAAACAAGTTTCAAATAAATGTTACATGTCTCTTTATCTCACAAGTGATGGTGTATTTCATCTTTTCTCTATTTATTTTTTCTTACTTTCATGGCAAATAAGAAAATAACACGTTAAAAATAAAAGCAAGATCAACTCACTTCCTATTCCATGCAATACGCATGTTCTTCCCCGCTTGATGTTATATACATACCATACATACATATGTATATATAGTATAGAGACAAAAGGATGTACATTTTGTTGAAAATTTAATAAAACATACCCACGATCTCCCATGATAAAGAGTATAATTACGGGAATTTAAACCCATGATCTTCCATTTTGATATCATGTTAGTTTACCAATCAATCCAAAAAACTTAAGCGCTTGTTCTTTTGAGTGAAAAACTCAAAAAAAGATAACTCGAGTTACAACTTTATTCGAGTTCATGTTCTTTTAAGTTTAAACTCGAGTTTAGGACTAAAACTCAAGTTCAAGTTTTTCCTTCAACTCGAGTTCAGAAATTCGAACTCAAATTAATGAACAGTATTTTTTCTATTCTTAAAAATGCTATAACTTTTTCGTTTTAATTCTGATTGAGATGATTTTTTTTCTATGCGTTGACAACGAAAAGATGAATAAAACCCGAACCATATACCCTATTAAAATTTTTCATCAGCATTGAGTTTTTATTAAAATACTATCTAAAGACAAATTTAAGTTTTGACTTACTCAAACACAAATTTAAAAAAATTCTTATCTCAAACCATAACTCAAATGTACACAACCAAAGACAAACTCAAGTTACAAGTTCAACTCAAGTTATAACTCAAATTTAACTCAAGAATTATACTCAAGTTAAACTCCAAAAGAACAAACCTTAAGTTATTAAAAGGTGAACCAACAATAATTTTATACTTTAACACACGACTTCATACAATAACCAAATATTTGCATTTGCCTTCTTTTGTATCGCATATATACTAGAGAAGGATAGACGTATCAAATTACGTGGAAAAAACGTATCGACCATTTCATCGTCATCGGCAGCCTCGGGGAGGGCGAGTCTTATCCTTATTAACGTAAAAAACAGGCGCATCCATATGCTTATTTTTTGCACCAAAATCCCAACAAACTATACACACAATTTAATTTTCCTATGTACTATATTGGGCAAAATCCAACGTCAAAACACACACCATCACTCACCCCTTGTCGAGTTTCAATACTTCCACGCATCGCCAAGTATAACAATTTGCTTACATAATGGTGCCCATATATGTTACACAAGCAAACCACTTAACAATATCTGGAGGGAAGCTTTTGACAAGCAGTTTGCTTCTACTATACAATCTGAGATTCTTTTTTATCTTCCTTTCGGCCATGCGGTTAAAGAATATTGTTGCATGTTATCATATTACTGTCTGATACAAAAACATTCTAATATTAATCGCAAAGGAAAGTGCCAACATTGCACGAGGAAGGAATTTATACGCAGTAATAAGTTTAGGCATTATTTATTTCATTAATTTAAGTTTTGTTACAGTAAAAAATTTTAAAAAATAGTTACAATTAATTTTTTTATTACAATAAAAAATTCTTACATAAAACTACATATCAACTCAAATTAAAAACTCGAATCAACAAACTAAACGGACCCTTAATCTCCTCCTACGTAAAACTCCAAAGCTCTTGTATATTCTTAATTGTACCCCAAAACGAAGAACCCATTTGGCGTTAGGGACAAACATGTCATTTTTGCACTGTTTAGAAAATTTCATCCGTTAAAAGAGTTATTATGGCTTCGTTCACTTCGCGGATTTGAGTTTTTAATTCGAGCTGAGATGTGACATTTTCTGAGAGTTTTTCACTGTAGCAGAAAAAGTTAGATGTGACATTTTCTGAGAGTTTTTTACTGTAGAAATCTAAAATTGAAAATTCAAATCGGTAAAATGAACGAGACCTATATATATTTTCTTTAAGTATTGTTTTTTTGGGAATTTGCACCCGATGGCCGCTTAACCACGAAACACAAAAATGTTTTGTTCCCTGTTTTATTAATTTAGGAGAATGGCCGGATCAATTAAATGAAGTTTTGTTTGTCCAGATTTGCTCCTTTCACGTTACAAAAATAAAAGAACATCTTCTTCCTATTAGTCTGCACAACGTCTTCTTCCCATTAGTCTTACTCATTAATTTAAATGAAAGAGAATTTTAAAAAGGCGGTTTTTCTTTTCTTTTTTTTATTTATTTAAAAAAAAAACATTCTTATCAAGGAGAAATTGAAGAATTTGTGTGCGGCCGGATTGGATAAAGTCTGAATGTGGAGAGATATTTTGTTTTTTGGTAACCTATTATAATTAGTAAAACGGCCATTCTCCTAATTTCATAAAACTGAGGACAATTATTTATAAATGGCTTAAGAAACAGACATTTTTGCTGTTATCCCTAGTTTTTTTTTCTTTTTTTTTTTTCAAAAAAAAAAAAGGAAAAGAAGACAGCCATAGTTAATTAGCATACCTTTGAGCGTTACTAAAGAGTCCCGGAATGTTTATTATTCCTCATACGAAGAGTACACCCAACTCCAAGGAACGTACTAATACTAAACGTAATTAACACTTTTCATATCAGTCAAAATTCACGATAAACACAGTATTTAAATGCCCCGTTTATTTTATTAATTTAAGTTTAGAATTCGAGTTTTACTACAATAAAAAATTCTTAAAAATAATTACATTTATTTTTTTTGTTATAATAAAAAATTTTAACATAAAATTATATCTTAACTCAAATCAGCGCACTAAAAAGGCCTGAAAAAGAAATAAGAATATATTATATTTCACCGATTCAAGTTTTCAGTTCTAAGTTTTTATAGTAAAAAACTCTCAGAAAATGTTACATTTAATTTTTTCTGTTACAGTAAAAAACTCTAAAAAAATATCACATCTCAACTCAAATTAAAAATTCAAATTCACGAAATGCACGATGTCTTTCCGAAACTCCTGTACATACCACATTCCCGTTCCCATCCCATAACAAATCCATTTGGCGTTCGTGCACACAAGGGCAGACGTGTCTTTTCCCACTCGCTAGATAAAGACACGAAAACTGAACAACACAACATGGGCCATAAACGGTCGGTGACGAATGCAAAAGCCTCATGAAAGCTTCACGAATGCAAACACGCTCGCCGTTTTCTCTCGAAAAATGGAGCCATCTATAAATACCCTCCGGTCAAGATCGGACGACCAAGAAATTCGATTAATAATTATTAGTGAGTGAGAGGAAATTACACGAACAAACATACAGACCAATGGAAACAACTAAATCTAAATCAGAAGAAAACGACGTCGTGACGAGGTACCTGATAGTGAGGCCGGAGAAGGGAGGAGTCGGGGACTTGTTGAGGTACGCGGTGAGGAATGACGTGGGCGGTGGGATGGCGTTCTTGGAGAGCTCCGACGACGCCGTTTTGGGCGGCCTCGCGGCGGATTATAGGTGGATTATTGTCGTTTCGATAATTGTTCGGAAAATCCTTGGTGTGCTTGGGAAGCCCATGGAGTGGAGTGGCTACGTGGTGGACTTTGTTCTTAACCTCCTTTCCCAGAATGGCAATCTCTCTGGCTTGCTCTGGAACCTTCTCCGTGGTCAGATTACTTGACTTTTGTTTATCATCTGTATCTGTTTGTTAAATTGTCCAATACAAAAGGAAAAAAAAAAAAGAAACAAACGAACAACGTTTTTGTTTTGTTTTGTGTTTTGCTTTTGCTTTTTCTTTTTTTTTTTTTTCCTTTTTTTTTTTTTGAGTGATGAGGAAGAAAAATAGGGTGCTGCATGTTAATTGTCTGATGATGAGAGAACTTTAGTGGGAGTTTTGATGTTGATAGGAGTGAGTAGAGATGGATTCAAGATTTTATTTGAGTGGAATACAAATAAAATAAACTTTAGAAAAGAAGATAATTATGAAATTTTAAAATCAAGGTTAAATATAAAGAGATGTGCAAAAAACATACTTTTGGTGAATTTCTCTAGTTTCGTTAAGTTAATAAAACGTTTTTTTTTTTTTTTTTTTTTTTTTTCACACACACACACACTCATATACATACATACATACATATATATATATATATATATATATATATTGTGCGTGCTTGTGCTTTGTCTGTTAGTCTGATGTGTAAATTTGGTAGCAGGAAAAGTAGTGATACCGCAGAGGGGCACAGAGGATTTTATAAGTACGATTGGGCAATTAGATGGGCGGATAGATCTCTACAAGGGTGAGAGCTTAGCAGAAGAAATTAGAGCTTCTGTTTTTGCAGAGAGAGAAGGGGAAGTGGGAATGGGGGACCGGGCTCTTATGGACCTCTGCATCATGGCATCCAAGTTAGCCTACGAGAATGCCAAAGTTGTTAAGAATATTGTTAATTATCATTGGAAGGCAAGTTGTTATGTTCTTTTTCACTTTTCAATATAAGCTTCTTGCTACACATAGTAATTAGTTCGTTTTGGACTTCAAAGAGCAGATGCACTTTGTGGACTTCTACGACTGTTGGAATGGTAAGAATTGCATTTTAGAGGAGATTTTTGTTCATTGAACTTATAGCCTAACGTACAAAGATCATCTTCTTGTTTCTGTGATGTATTTTTTTTTTTTGGGTTTTGTTTTGTTTTGTTTCCAAAAAGTGCAAATTCTTCTACTTTACAAGTGGTTCTTTCTATTTCTATCTACAAATGAACTTACTTCCTCTCTTTTGCTCTGAGGAAAAGTGTGAACTTTTTGTCTTGCTTCCTACTAATCATTTTTTTGTTTCTTTTTCATGGGATAACTTTTGATAGATTTCCAAAAGGAAAGGTCAACCCAAGTGTTCATTCTCTCCGACAAGCCTAAAGATGCAAACTTTATATTGATCAGTTTCCGGGGAACAGAACCTTTTGATGCGGATGATTGGAGTACTGATTTTGACTACTCTTGGTACGAGATACCCAAACTTGGGAAGGTTCACATGGGGTTCTTAGAAGCTTTAGGTTTAGGCAATAGAATCGACACTACCACATTTAAAAATTGCCTTCTAGGAAATCACGGTAAAACTGAATCCAACCTGGGACAAGGTGGGGCGGATCAGTATTCTGAGTCAGAGGGGCAATCTACGGGTGAAAGGGAACTCCAACCAGCAATGGTGGAAATGACTGCATACAATGCTGTAAGAAGGAAGCTCAAGAGCTTACTCAAGGAGCATAAGAACGCGAAATTTGTAGTGACCGGGCACAGTTTAGGTGGGGCACTAGCCATATTGTTCCCAACAGTGCTGGTGCTGCATGAGGAAACGGAACTAATGCACAGGTTGTTGGGCGTCTACACATACGGACAGCCCAGAATTGGTAATAGGAAGCTGGGAAGATTCATGGAAGCACATTTGAATAGTCTGGTTCCAAAGTACTTCAGGGTAGTCTACTGCAACGACCTTGTGCCCAGGTTGCCTTACGATGACAAAACATTCTTGTATAAGCATTTTGGGGTCTGCCTTTACTATAACAGCTTATACGTTGAACAGGTACCTATTCGTGCTTTTGAATTTGATTTCTTTCCGTTTAATTCGCTGATTCGAGTTTTTAATTCGAGTTGAGATGTGACTTTATATGAGCTTTTTACTATAACAAAAAAGTTAGATGTGACTGTTTATGAGAGTTTTTTACTGTAGTAAAACTCAAATTCTAAACTCAAATTAGTGAAATGAATGGGCCAATTTATTATTGTTTTTTTCATTTTCTTCTTATCCTGCTCTCATCTAGCCCTCCTAGCTTCTTAGGGAATAGGACTTGTCTTATTCTGCAGTTCCACAGAAATATGTTGTCATTACTTTCTTCTGATATCCCCATCGTCACAACATTCCCCTTCTGCTTATCAAGAAACACTATCGAAAAAAATGTAGACACACGGGTATATTTTATGAAAGACTAGGGGCCCGTTTAGTTCGTTGATTCGAGTTGAGATGTGATTTTATGTAATAATTTTTTTACTGTAGCAAAAAAGTTAAATGTGACGGCTTCTAAAGTTTTTTATTATAATAGAACTCGAATCGGTGAAACGAACGGAGCCTATAAGTTGAACAAAAAGCTTTTATTGATAAGTAATTCTATGAAAGGAAACGTAGGAATAACTGTTTTATTTTCGATCAGATATTTTGTGTAGCATTGAGCTGTTTTCTTTTGTGATGTATGCTTATTCGCAGAAAGTAAAGGAGGAACCAAACAAGAACTTTTTTGGATTGAGATCTGCGGCAGCTCTGCATCTGAATGCCATTTGGGAGTTGATCAGAAGTTTTATCATTGGCTATGTGTATGGACCGGAGTTTAAAGAAGGGTGGTTTTCCACAGTGGCAAGGCTGATGGGGCTCATACTTCCTGGTGTCTCTGCGCATAGCCCCACAGATTATGTAAACTCCGTGAGGCTTGGGCGGGAACGCGGCGTTCAGATGTCCTCTTTCTGAGCTTTTTATCTCTCTCAAATAATGCAGGGTCATAGTTGTGATCTTACTTAGATCTGGTTTGCACTTATGCAGTTTGTACCCATCAGGTCTTCCTTGTGTAAATTTATTTGTTTATCTTCTTAAATCGGTTTTTGTCTGTGTTGCTTTCGCGCATTGGTTTTGTTGGTGAAAAACATTGTAAAATAAAAAAGACGTTTTAAGGATCACACGCTTTTGGGTTTATTCTACATTAAAATATGGTAATGATTGATTAATGTAAAATATTATTCCCTCTCTTTCAAGCCCATAAAAGTAAAATTGCAAATGAATAGTGGGGTTTTATTATGGAGGTTGAATAACATATTGGGTTTGCACCAAAAACAAAAGAAAAACAAAACAAAAAAAAAAAAAAACGAAAAAACTTGAAAAAGGGAAAAAGACGACTAATGTAATGTTAGATTTCCAACAGTGGCTGTTTGGAGGACGATGTTGGGCTAATCCATGCGCCCTAGTTGGCCCATTTCGTTTGCCGAATCCGATCCAAATTGACACGCGTATGAGAGAAAACGAGGTCAACAATATGACATTTTTTTTTTTTTAAAGTGAAACAATACGACATTAACGTTAATATAACTAGGTTTTCGTGATGCTGATATTAGTTTTATTATTATTGTTATCGTATCCTCGTCCTCGTCGTCATCATTATTATTATCATTAATAACAACAGCCATGGAAAGAAAATGGAAGACCACTAATTTGCATTTCAGAAAATTTTCAATATGATTATGATTGCATTTTTTTTTAAATCACTAACCAGGTTGTGATTCAAAAATTAGTGATTAAAAAAAAACATCATTTTTTATGCCGTTTGTTATTAGTTTTTCGATTTCTTATTCCTTTTTTTTTCCCAGAATTATCAAATGCTTTTTAACCTATATTTAAATATGATCAGGAAAAAAAAAAAACTTATATTTAAATATTTGAATATTTTTGTATTAGGTTAGACATCCCTTCAATGGTTTTGATGTGATAACATACAAACTGATATAATATAGAACTAGTTTAGTCTGTTGCCAATTTGTGTATGGCAATGACAAATTTCAGACAAATACACAATTAGTTAAAACCTTATGCATGTGTTTAAAATATACTGTATTCGTCATTGATTTTGAATCATAATTCATGATTCTCTACAGTGTTTTTTTCTCACAAAAAATACGTAAAATGAGAATGATTATAAATCATGGTTCTAAATCCAGAAACTAAAGGTAAATTGTTTTCCATGTCCTCCTCTGGCCATCTACTTAATTATAATCAGATATAGCTCTCCGAATTAGTAAAATACAACAAACAGGAAACCGTTGTTAAATGTGTTAATAATATACATAGATTGAAAATAAGTTATATATATATTTTTTTTATTTTTTTTTACGAGAAAGTAGTTGATATCTAACATTCCATTACAACAAATTTTCAGTGTGCATGTGCATAATTGAGCATACTACTAAAAATCTTCAGCAAAAAAGTAAAATAAAAAAGCATAATACTAAAATAATAGTGTTCAAACAAAAGGCAACCGTAAACCTTAAAAAAAAAAACAAAAAACAAAAAAGTTCCAAGAACGAAAATGGTAAGAGAACATATATGCACACACATAAAGGTTTCTGTTCGGTCAATATGCTAAGCAACATTGGGTTTATGATGGTCATATTCTATAAATAACGAAAATGGGGTACGAAATAACACTAATGATCATTTTTTCTTGAGAAATGAAAAAAGATGTATGATCCTATTTATTTTACTGATTCGAGTTTAGTTACAGTAAAAAATTCTTAAAAATAATCACATTTAAGTAAATGGACTAGTTTCATCGGTGTTCACATTAAATATAAAAATTTAATGATGTAGTGTGATAAAAAAATTAATTTTATTAATTATTATCATTTTTTAAATTAATTATTTAAATTATTATAATAATCAGATTAATATCTTACGATTAAAATAATAATATCCATCAATAGATAAATATGTAAGTAACTATTAAAACCACATCTTTAAGTATGTACGTCTATTTGTCGTAAAGCTGTCAAATGAACTGGGTCGGCCCAATAGCACAGGATGGCACGACACATAAGGATTAGGCACAACACGTCACGTTAATTCGTGAGTCGGGTTAGGCAAAACGTGCCTAGCTTAAATGTTTAGCACGTTGGGCACAACACGTGATATAGCACGATACGGCGCGGCATGGCTCACAAATATAGCATGACATGGCACACGGACACGCTAGACACGACAAATTTGAAACTAAATTATATACTTTTATTTCATTTTTTTCTTCAATTTTCAAGGAATCTATAATATTAAGATCGCCTCCAACAAATTATAATGAAATCATCTAATTAAGTTAATTGATTTATTTTATTTTTCTTTCGGTTAATGATAATGAAATTATTTAGCCGTTGGGTACACATATGCTATATATACACAAATCAAGCAAAATCATTTAAGCGTAAAAATCGTTTGTGCTTTTTTATAGTAATGATGAAAATCATAGTTAGATGTATATTAAAATTAAAGCTATTTAAAGTTGTTTTATTTAATGTTTATCTATTAAGATTATTTGAGTTTTATTAGGAATATATATGTTTTATTTGAGTTTGATTATTATTAAAAGTTAGATTTTCATCATGATTTCTATGTCTCTATAAATAGGTATACATTATGTGTATTTTTCATTCAAACTACAGATATATTCCTCTCTTTGGCTTTCTTCTCTCTAAATTCTTCAAACTCTTCCATTTTCGCCTCCTCTCTATTCTTCTTGTCTTCTATCTATATATATTACATTAATTGTCGTTGTCAGACACATATAATGGATTCTAGACATTTAGACCTAGCGAATTTGCAACATGAAGATGGTGAGATTAAAAAATAAAAATAATGAACTTCTATTATAATTTTATAATTAATTAAATATAAACTTGAAATGAGCTAGCACGATTAAGTACGCAGACCAACATGGCATAACACGATACGACACATAAAGATATAGGCCAATAGATAGGCATCTATAGCAAGACAAGGCACGACATTAATAAATTATGGGCTTAGCACGACACGATAACACGATTGTGCCGGATTCAGGCCCGACCATTTGACACCAAATAGTATTTGGTTAACATGTCTAATTATATTGACACGTACATTACATTATAACAAAAAAGATTTTCAGCGATGAAGATTTTAGCAACGAGTCTTAAAATTTAGCTAAAACTCTCAGCATGACAAAATTTTGTTGTATGATGACGCCTTCTAGCAATGAGTTTTAATAATTTAGCGACAATAATTTTTTACTTTTAGCAACAGTTTCATTGATAAAAGTCATATTTTTACTTTTAGCGACGAAAAATGTCATCACTAAAGACCATTTTCCTTATAGTGTTAGCTAATTTTATTATAAGTTCCAAAAATATGGTCAGGCTAAGGTAATTTGGTGGAATCAATTGCTTGCATAATAACTTTGACTTCATTTGCCATCATCAGTTGCAACTCGCGAACCCACTCTTCATTGTTTTGCACTGCCTCATCTCGCATCAACTTCCTAACCTTGACAGAATCCTTTGAAGTTAAGTGCTTCACCAATTTTCGTTTTAGATTATGGTCCCGTTCATTTCACCGATTATTTTATTATAAGTTCCAAAAATATGACCAGTAATATCATGAATGTTGTTATATATAGTGTGTTTAGAACTCGTTCTAAAATAATTTTATTTTTTGTATGAAAATGAAAATAAAAACGGTTTTTAATCTCAAACAAAAATTATTTCTAAAAATGTGTTTGGTAATTTTATCAAGAAATTATTTTCAGTATAAAAAAATTTATTAATATCTCTTTACTCAAGAGAGAGAAAAAATCCGTTTTCATTTTTTTTTTCTCAAAAAACGTAAAATAAAAATAAAAACAACCCCAAACACAGCCTACACTTTGGTCATCATAAAGTCTCTTGGTTTCCTCATTCTTCTCCCACGCATAAAAAATGTGTCTTTGGCTTTGGTACAAGTCATTGGCGCATAAGCCTCTAATAATGCGGAGAACTTCATAGGTTGCTAAAGCTTTGTTCCGTTGGTCAACCGAGGCTACTTTATGATAGCTGGGCTGGTCTCACACTTGACGGGCCTCAGGTCCAAGAGCAGCTGAAGAGGTGGGCTGATCCTAAAGCCCAAGGAGAGGAGACCCAAGCGAATACGACATTGGATGGGGGTCGTTTTGAGGAAGGCAGCAGCAAAGCCTTGGGACGCTGAAGAGGGCAATTCGCGTGAGGTCAGAATTCGCAAGGTGCCTGGCAAGTACAACGACTTCGTGATGGCGTGATTCCGTTGCGAGAAAAGCGAATCTCTCCGACTGGTTTCAGCTATTTCCATTTCCATTTTTCTTTTATTTTTTCAATTTGTTGTTTCGAGAATATTTCTCGTTAGGAGAGGGTCAAAATATTACAGGGAAAATAAGACGATCATAGCAACAATCAGATTTTTAGATTCAGCACATTATCGTAAAAAATAAAAAGTAAAATTTTTTAAAAAGAATAGCATCGTACTATGACTAGAACACTGGAATTCAAATTAAGAATAAAAGAGTAGGGTTAAAGAAAAAAAAAAGTTGAATCATTAGAATAGAAAACACATCATTGGATTCTTTTTTTTTTTTTTTTTAAAAAGAAACACTAAAAATTCATTAAAAAAGAAAAGAAAAGAAACCTCGGTCACATTAAACAAACACTTAGGGCCCGTTTAGTTCGCTGATTTGAGTTTTTAATTCGAGTTGAGATGTGATTTTATGTGAGAACTTTTTACTGTAACAAAAAAGTTAGATGTGATTGTTTGTGAGAGCTTTTTACTGTAGCAAAACTCGAATTCTAAACTCGAATTAACGAAATAAACGGGGCCTTAGTAAAAAAAAATACATCATAAAAAAAAAAAAAAGCCTTGATCACCAGAAAACATTCACTTAGTATTCATGTTTAAAATATTCAAAGCATCAAAAGTAAAAAATAAAAAATAAAAAAAGTAAAAAATACTTGATATTAGCGACAACATAAGTCTTGATCGCTTGAGAGAAAAAGGGAGAGCGATTGAGGTCATAATATCGATAGTCTACTTTGTGTGCTAGGTTTTTATTTTATTTATTTATTTTTATATTTTTATGTCTGCTATGCTTCTTCTTTGGCCAAAGGGAGAGACCAAGGAGAT